TTGATAATGATTAAATTTCGCGTTTTGTTGTGTGGTGTTGATGTTAATGGTTGCCCCTGAAGCGTTGTTGTTTGGTAGTAGTAGCAAGGGTACTGCAGATTTTTGTTGTGGCCTTGGGCGTTATGTGAATGGTGTGGGTCTTTGTAGTCAGGGAGCGAGGTTGTGGTGCTGACTGGATGTTGTTTAGTGGTGTGGTTCTTTGTGGTCAGGGAGCAGGGTTGTGGTGTTAGATGGATGTTGTTGAGTGGGTTAGGGGCTTATTTACGAGGCAACCCCCATTAATCTCCTAGATAAACAGAAATGTTTCTCTCATTGGTAAACTTGCATTTATATTCACGTGTTTTTGTGCCAGCTCATCAAAATAATTTAAAAACAGCATAAAGGTTCCGATTTGAGCCAGAACCCAAACGGGGGACGCGAGAATTCTACATCTGTAGAAAAATGTGTTAGCCGAATCAATAGGGTTTGTCGAGAAAGACTTATAATGGAACCCACCAGCAGCTCGATAATAATAAAGCATTTCCTATATTACACGAGGAAAAATAAAAGAAAATAAAAAAAAGTGGACATATGCTCCGTTAATTTTGCCGTGAACATCTAACTTTTTCTATCCTCTCCTCACCTCCCATGGGCCATGGCCACCATTTCTCCTCTGATCTCAAGTTTCTCTCTCCTCCCCTCCTCAATCAAGAGAGCTCATAAATAGGTTTAATGGAGAAATCAGACTTTTTTCTTTCTCTCTCCTGCCCTCCCATGGCCACCGTGTCCTGGAGAAAGCTCGTAAGCTACTTCAATGGAAAAATCTGATTACTATTTCAGTTGAGGTCGTGATGATACTAAGCTCAGAAGTTGATTCCATGGAGAAATTATTAGAGCTATCTTCAAAGAAAACCCTAAGAAATAATATATAATGAAGGAAAGGGTTAACCCTAAAGGGTAGGTTTTTGGATCCTCATTGAGGCATTGATCTGATTTAATTTCACCATTGAAGACTTCATCTAGAAAGCTCCATCAAACTTTGGTATTAACATTAACGGCACATACCACGTTATATACTTAGATGTGGATTTTACAAATATACCCCATCTTTGCCACAAGAGTTTACAAAAATAACCCGGGTGAAATCTTATAAATAAAAACCTGACAGTTTCTTTATATCCCTGTGACCCCTTCACTGAATTGGCTATAATATTCAGCGTATTACCCTTGGTTTAACAATTGCGTTTACTAACTATATATACTCTATAATAGCCTACTTGCTCAATAGGTAGAGCATTGTGCAAGTGCACAAAGATGTAGGTTCAAATCCTACGTAGGTTTTTCTAACGCTTTAAACCATTTGATTGTAGATATACTTGTTCCGGGTGTAGTTTTGAAGCTAGGTTGGTGGTCAGAACCGGACTTCAGCTGGGATTGCCTGCACAATGAGCGGTGGTTACTACCCTCGGGGGTGGACTCGAGGAATCCCCCTCTAATGCTTAAATTAGTAATGCTTTAGATGAATGATAATGGATAAGTGATGAAATGCGATCGTCTAATCTCTTTTCCGTTGTACTTGGCTTGCTATTTATAATTAAACTATTCCTTGTGCTGTGGGCTGGAGCCTGTTGGGGTCAGCCATGAGGTTGAGCCCTTGGGAGATTATCCCTGGCTTGGGGCTGGACTGGCGTGAGCGCACACCTCGCAAGTGGTGCTGGGAGCGCGGGTCAGCTCAGCGAGAGCTACTCTATACAAAACTTTTTAAGATTTTTATATATACTTTTAAGTTTCTCTAATTTACTTTGGAGTAATAACATTTACTTTTGAGTTAATATTATTTATTTATGTTAATGATATTTTAATTTAATTACTTTTTAGCGTTTTGTGTTTACTTTTCAGTCATTATGATTTACTTTTGAGATATTTTGATCATCTACTTTTGATTTCTTTTTTAGTTATTTTGATTTACTTTTTAGTTTTTCTATGTACTTTTGAGATGTTGTGATTTACTTTTAGAATATTTTGATTTACTTTTTAGCTTTCTAATTTACTTTTGAAATGTTTTTGAATTACTCATGGCGAAGTCTTTTGGGATCAAAATTTTTGCTTATTAATGGGCTAGGAGTATCGGGACTGGTTAGAAGGTGAGGGTCTGGCTGTGGTTACCAGGGAAACCGAATATAGCAGCTCCAGACCATGGTCCAATTTATGATCCAGACCTGAAAGTTGCTTACCTGAAGATCCCAGAGTGAGGGGAATGGGACATGGATAGGCTCAATTCCTTATTTTCATGCACTGACCGAGAGAACATACTGCAGCTACTCCTACCAATGGCTAGACATGATGATACTCTTTATTGGTGGCCCACCAAAAGTGGAGAGTATAGTGTTAAAACAGGCTACTGGTTAGGCAGGCTTGGCGTGCTCTCGGATGCGGATGTTTTAGGGCAAGTGGATAACAAAGTGCTCTGGGCTATTGTATGGTGCAAGAGTAGGAAACCAAAGCCGAATCATTTTATTTGGAAGGCCTGCAGGGGTAATTTAGCTGTGAAAGAGTTGTTGTTCCATCGTCATATCTCACCAAATGCAATATGTAGCTGCTGTAATGCTGCTTCAGAGTCTGTAATCCATGTTTTATTCGAGTGACAGGCCGCAAATTGGGTAGGGGAGGGTAGCAGCTTTGCTCAATTAATTAATGATGCCCCTACCACCTCTTTTATAGATAGACTTCTGTGGTTTGGTTTTAAAGATAGACTTCTGAGCAGCAACAACAACACGTCCCCTCCCCCCATCTTGCAGCAGTAGCTCCAGCATGTTCAATGACTCGGTTTCAATGGTTATTTATCATGTTCAATGAATTCGTTATACATATACTGTTAGAATTTTTTTTCCATTATTTGTTTACTTTTCGTATTATTCTATTCACTTTTTATTTGAAAACCTTTACTTTTAATCTCGTATGCTTCTTATTTAATTATTTTTCGATTTCGTATAATTTACTTTTTATTTACTTTGGAGTAATAATGATTTACTTTTGACATATTTTGCTCTACTTTTGATTTCTTTTTGAGCTATTTATGTTATAAATATTTTGATTTACTTTTAAGATATTTTGAATAACTTTAGATTGTTTTATAATTACTTTTAACAGTAACTTAAGTAAGAATTGAACCTACACCTTAATAATAAACCCACATGCTCTTTCGTCAAATGAGCAATTATTTTTTGCTCATTTGTCAAATGAGCAATTAATTTTTGTTCATTTGTCAAATGAGCAAAAAAAATTCAATGCTCCTTTGTCAAATCAGCAAACTATTTAATGCTCATTTGTCAAATGAGCAATTAATTATTTGCTCATTTGTCAAATTAATGCTCATTTGTGAGTGTGTTTGAATGTTTTAAATACGTTAGCCTACTAGCTCAAGGGTAGAGCATTGTGTAAATGCACAAAAGATGTGGGTTCGAACCCCACGTAGGTTCATTTATGTAATGTGGAAACACAAGTTTGTATTACAGTTTAATTGTAACAAAGTTTATATAGTTATAAATCATTTCAAACCATTTTTTTGCTCATATAATTAGTACGAATTTGATTTTTTTTTAATTAATTTTGTTTATAAAGATAACTGATATGTCGTGTTTTGTGTATATTATTTGGCTTATTTTTAGTTTGTTTTGTTAGTTTAGTTGAGTATTTGAGTCCGTTTTGGCGTATTTTGCTTTAGTTTGGATAATTCGATGGTTTTATGGGTAGTTGTGTTGTTTTTGATGAATTTCAGGAATAATGGAACTAATTTGGATGAGTTATGGATCTATGAAGTAAGCCAAGACCCATGAATCTTGATGATTGAAGAAAAGGCAAAATAGGGAATTTTAGAGCTAGGCACGGCCGTGCCTACTCTGAGGCACGTCCGTGCCTCCAAGCCAGATGCATCACCCTTTGTTTCGACCCTAGGCACGTCCGTGCCTAGCAGGAGGCACGTCCGTGCCCATCAGAGCAGCCAGGCACGTCCGTGCCTGGAAGACAGAAACTGCAACAATTTTTCTACGTATAGAGGCACGTCCGTGCCTATGAAGAGGCACGTCCGTGCCTCCTGGGATTCTTGTGCGCCAAGGCTTGGCCGATTTTCTTATCTTTTTAGGCTTTTATAAATACTTTTTAGCCTTGTTTTTTGGGAGATTCATTAAGTTTATATTATTTTTCAATTCCTATTATTAAGAACTAGTTCTCCATTATTTTTCTAAGGTTTTTGTAATTCAAGATTCAAGATTCAAGCTTTCTACTTTCAATTTTTATTCAAGATTTGGTATTTATTTTTCATCCTTTGTTATTTAATTATGTTTTCATTATTTATTATTGTTTTTGTTTCTTTAATGATTTGTGAGTAGATTCTTTAATTCAAGATCTAGTGTAGCCCTATTATTATTGATGCATGAATTAAATCTTTAAATTCTTTAATAACTTTAACAATTGAATTGCTAAATTGATTGTGATTATGCCAATGCTAGGTTAGACGTAACTATAGTATTGCGATTATTCCATTGTTTTTATCACAGCGAGAGTTGGGTATAAACGGATTTGAGTAAATCAATTTAGGGTTTGATTCTCAACACGAGAGTAGTTGGGTTTGATAATTGGAAAGTGAGAGTAATGTGTTTAATGTCTCTAATATGCATGATACCATGAGAATAGGATTGATTATATGTTAGGGAAGCCATTGATACTCGAGAGAGATCCTTGGTATTTATTAGGGTTTACTTTTCCCCGTATGATTGAAATCGTATGTTAAGGGTAGAATTACAATTGCATCGATAATAATTGTGGTGAAACTAGATCTTGGATGTTTTAAGTACTTGATTTAATCATCTTATTTAGTTTATTTTCGAATTCTTCTCATACTTAGTTCCTTAGATAATTGATTATAATTGATTCTTGCTTAGTAGAAATTCGAGTCTATTTAATTATTTTTGAACCTTAGTCTCTTGGGATCCGACCCTTACTTGCCAGTCTACATTAGTATTGGTCTGTTAGGTTATTTTTGATAGGTATGCGACACGCCTACCAATAACCTATGTAGGAATTAAACCTTACTTGCCAGTCTACATTAGTATTGGTCTGTTAGGTTATTTTTGATAGGTACGTGACACGCCTACCAATAACCTATGTAGGAATTAAACCTACATCCCCTATGAATTTGCATAGTGCTCTACCAATTTAGCTAATAGGTTTTATAATCAATCTAACCAGAGAAGTTATTGAATTCTATCAGAACAACAATGGTAGGAAACACAATCAAAACACCAATAATACTTGGACATATGGACCTATGGACTATTTAGTGTTCCTATGGACCTGCAGGAGTCTCGCTACACATAAATGAAATGTTCCAGAAAACCTATACAAGAAGGGATCTTCCCTAATCATGATCACTACTGACATACACCTATTGATTGCACCTACATTATTCAAGCCCTAAGGTACATTATCATTAGACAATAAGACGGAGCATACCTGTGTATTTGGTGGCAAAAATGGCAGTTCAGACTTGCCATAATACAACATTTAGATGCAAATATTATGGTGAGTTGAGTACTTGAGCTAGTGCATATGAACATCCTCTCGATCCTCATAATAAAGCCTGCAATTTGTTATAAGGAATTGGAAATATGTAGGAAGTTTGCTATTCTCATTTGACAAGTAATAACATAAGCAAATCAAAATCTAAGCAAATGACTTACAATCTTACATTCCAAGGTTGTTTTGCAAACAAGCAACAACAGTATAGATTTTGTGATTTTCAAACCAAATCAGTATCCTTGTGATTTTTCTTGGTAACAAGAAAGATTAAATACAAAGCCTTGGTACAAACTGTATTTGATGCACATTACAGCATTATTTGAATTTTAAAAACAAACAATAGAGATTGTTTATGTCGTATGATGTAGACTTGTGTTATACAAAGAGGAAAAATATGCAAGATTTCACCCTTAAAAATGGAACTGCTTTAGGAAAATTGTTGTTCCCTTCTCCAGATTCTCCAAAGTTACGCAGTGGATTTTCCTTAAGTAATTCAGTTTCGCAAGATAGTATTTTTGTTATAATTTGGAATGCCAAATCAATAACACTTCAATAGCAGTTTGGGAAAAACATACCTTTTGAGGTTAACTTCTTCCCTGTCCTTCAATTGGGAATTTGTAATGCTTTGAGAATCACTAGTTTGTTGCAATCTGTACGAGATAGTGAAAAATAAATCGTCAGCCTATCAAGAAGTTACGGGTTTCTCATGCAACCAGCATACTGTAAATTAAAGAACTAAGAGTTGCAAGTTTCTCATGTTACAATTTAAAAATGATGTATTTGATCATGTTACAATTCTTTGAAGAACTTATTCAGTAAAATTTATACAACTTACATTCACTTTACTAAAATGCATAATCAATACTTACTCTGAACATTCCTCATCAACAAACACCTCAATGGCAGAAGTGGCAACTCTTCCAAGTCTACTGCCGGGCCTCTGCATAACTTGTACATGGTAGATTGTTAGATCTTGCTACTGCATCTATCCAGTGTAACAGCCAATCCAAGAGCCAACAGATATGCCCTTGACTATGAGCTGCAAACACATATTTATAAGTATAAATTAAGATGTCTAGTAATGGAATGCATTCAAATCAGAAAAAACTAAATGCATGCAAGCTATCAGGAAGAAGATATTGACAATTAACAAACATCATTGATGGAAATTTCTTATTCTTAAGAGCACTAGGTTGTTATTAGCTCATGCCAATGTGCCACACATCATCACGGAATCCTTCAAAATAAGTGCGTAACCTATGACGTAAGTCACATATACTTGCAAAAATTTTCAGATCTAGCAGTATTACAGTATACTTGCACAGCCTGTAGTCTTCCTATAAAAACTCACAATTCACAACACTCCGTAGATCAAATTTCTGGTTTTCGGTTCCAAATAGGACACCGGGAACGATTTTCCACAACATTCTAACCTTGGTAGTACCATCTCATAACCTTCACCATAGAAATGCCTTCAATTATTCTCATAACCTTCACCATCGAAATGCCTTCAATTATCAACTAAAATACCAACATTTAACTTTAAAAACTAGTCCTATTAATTGCAGCATAATACAATTCGTTCATGCAATAATCAAAAACATGATTAAAGAACAAATATTCGATATCATCTGCAGCAATTATCAAACCGCATGTACCCTAATTTATCTCAGGTGGAATTTGTCGTAGCAAAAACAACAAAAATACAAATTCCAGATAAAAATTGATCATCTAAATTCGAAAATCAAAGCGATAATTAATAAACAAAATACAATGAAATCAACAGGAAAAACAATTAAATCAAACAGTAATTTCGGGAAATTCGCCAGTCAAATTACTGACCTATTGGCGTCGACAACATGAGCAATGCCCGAAATAGTATGATTGAAGAGGAGGCGAGGAGAGAGAAACCGCCGACATAAATAGGCAAGCTATGAGCGACATTGTCGTTGACAGAGACCCAGTCAGCGACCAAATTTGTGGTCGGTTTCGGACCATTGTAGCCTTGAGACTATGCAATAAGCTCCAATGTTGTAAGTATAAAAGCTTGCAGAAAAAGCTTGAGGTCCGAAAATGGCGAAAATAGAGAGGAGTGAGAAAGGAAGTACCTGGAAAGAGTTGGAAATGGAGAGAACGGAATGGATATGGAGGTCGTTTGATGTGAGTCGTTGATAACATTTGATCCTAAGGCCTAGATTTGTTCTCATATATTAGTAGTGCTCTCACATAAGGACTTGTTCTCACCGAATCCCGTATATATATTAAGGTAATTTGGCCCCTAAGAAAAAGTGTCAAGATCCACTGATGCGAAATAATAATGGAAATTCTTACCTTGTTATTTTTTTTGATTATTTTTTGAGTTTAGGGACTAAGTTTAGGAAATTTTATCTTTTTAATAATTCTATCTTTATTAGGAGTGTGTTTAGGAATCTGGCTAGTTGATTTATCTAGGATTTCTAATGTAATTAGGAATCTTAGTACTTATTTGTAGCCAATATAATGGCATTTATGCTCTTAATAAAATCAATTTTGTAGCACTGAAATTTATAAAGTTTCACGTAAGTTTGTGCTTGTGTATTCTTGGCCTAGTTTGGGTTTTAGACTCAAGATTCCAAACCTTTGAACTGCGATTGAAGGTTATATCCATTAAAATCTATATCAAATTGGTGTGGCTGATGTTTGACGAGGGATGAGTTTGACAATTCGTGTAAAAAAACTCAGTTTCAAAGGTCATATTGATCGACTTGGCTCTCCTTTGTTTCTAAAGATTTGAGGTGATTATTTTTTTTCAAATTGGTTAATTTTTTTGTCTAGTTTTCACCTGTAAAATTTGAGAATTTTTGAAGGATCATAGCTAATAAATTGGGTTCGTTTTTGATAACTGGTCAAAAATCGAACTAATTTAGCAGTGTTGAGAAAAAAAAAACTGCGACCACTTGACTTGGAATTTTTGACTAAATTTGTGGTCAAGTACTGTAGACATATAAGGATATCATCGTAAAAAAATTCCAGACGTTTTCAAGGTGTTTTGTTTGGGTTTTGGTCCTCGTACTTTCGAGGTGTTCTGGACGGGTTTTTTGTGTTTAATCATTCACTTATACATGGTGAATCAAGCTGAATTTGCGGCATTGTTGGATGAGCTCAAGAAGATTAATGCTCGGTTGGATAAGTCGGAAGAAGTTACTGCATTACTCCAGCAAGAACAACATAACCGTGAAACAACTCCGCACATACGCAATCACATAGTTGAAGAGATAAAGCTTGCTGATTTTCCCCTAGCTTCGATGGTGATGGTGATCCGGACTTATACTTGGATTGGGAGAGGAGAATGGGGCGTATCTTTGCACACAAAAATATGGACGATCATAAACGTTTTACTCACGCTATCCACAAGATCACAAGGTATGCTTCCCTTTGGTTTGATTCCATGCAAAATAAACGTGAAAGGGAGGGTAAGCCACAACTCTCTACTTGGACAGATTTAAAGGCTAAGATGAAAAAACGATTTGTTCCACGATCTTATAAGCAAGACTTATATTTGAAATTAAATTATTTGACTAATTATATCAAAGAATTCGAAAGACTTTATATTGCTTGTGATTGCAAGGATGAAGAGGAACAAAAGATTGCAAAATTTGTGATTGGTTTGAATACTTCTCTACGTAATCAAGTCCAAGTACTACCCTTGACTACTTTTGATGATGTTTGTATGATTTCTTGCAAGTTAGAAAAGCAAAAGAAGTCATACCCTTCTTTTAAACCGCAAATCGAAAATTCTGATATTGCTCCTAGTTCATTAGATGCCACGTCTAAGCATGACAAACTTGTGTCTAACTTAAAGAAAGGGCAATCTTCTTTGCCTCAAAGTCAACAAAAGATGAAACAAATTGTTTGTTTTAAGTGTCAGGGCATGGGACATATTGCTAAGCAATGTCCGAACAAGGCACTTGTTACTAAGGAGGAATACTACATGTTTTTATCTCAAAACGTGGATGAATCGGATGTGCTTGAACAACAACACCAACAAGCCTTAGTTAAAGACAAATCGCAAGATGTGACAGATTCTTATTTTTGGGAAAATCAACAGGTTTGCTATGCGGAAGATGAGCCTAAGAGCTTGATTTTAAGGAGGTCTTTATTAGCCACGCATGATGAGAAAGAAGATGAGCAAAGATCTAATCTTTTCCATTATAAGTGCCTAATTAATGGTAAAGTTTTCTCTTTTATAATTGATAGTGGCTCTTGTACTAATGCTTGTGCTTTGTCTATGGTGGATTCGCTTCAATTACCTACAAGAAAGCACCCTCAATCATACAAATGAGTTGGTTTAATGATGGCAATGGTGTGTGGTTTAAAAAAACAAGCTTTGATTGGTTTCAAATTAGGTGACTATGTGGATCAAATTTGGTGCGATGTTGTGCCAATGACCGCATGTTCTTTGCTTCTTGGATGACCTTGGCAAAGTGATAGACACATTATTCACAATGGAAAGACTAATGTCTATTCGGTTCTTATTGGAGACAAACGTTTAGCCTTGCATCCCTTACCTCCTATACGTCCACCAATGCCTAAAGAACAAAAAGGAGGCGTTAACGTTGCTCATGTGTGTTTTAGCTCGTGCCATCATGAGGTACTCGATTGTTCAAAAGATAAGAGGGAACGAAGGGACAAAATGCTCCACATGCGCAAAGGAACTAATTTGCAAGAGGGATCTAAAGTGTGGTTGTCCTTAGATGCTCAACGTTTGCATATTGATCACAAGAATGGTGAACCAATGGATGAGGGACCCTTTGACATTGCTGAAAAGGTTGGGTATGAAACATTCAAGGTTCTTCTAGGTAATGGAGTTTGTGCTACTGTTACTTCATCCGAGTTGGTACCTTGTTTGAAGATGAAACTTGAGGGCAAAATTTTTTTCAAGAGGAGGAGTATGATTCCAAATAATAATGGAAAATCTTACCTCTCTTGGAACTTTCGATCTTTACTAGCACTAGACGAAAAAGATAAAAAGGCACCGGTTCAAACCCCCCTTTGGCACCGGTTTTGAACCGTTAGGTATTTGAGAGATGCCAAATCCATGAAAATTTGGCACCGGTGCCAACTACCATGGCGTCATTTTTTTAAAAAAAATTTCAATACTATTGGCACCGGTTCAAAGAAAGAACCGCTGCAAGTAACCCCACTTTAGGCACCGGTTTTTTCTTTAAACCGGTGCCAAAAGTGTAAAAAAAAATTTAAAAACTTTTGACACCGGTTCTGGTCAAAACCGGTGCCAAAAATACCCCAAAAAAATAAAAATAAATATTTTTTTTTTTTTTTTGCATTTTTTTCACTTAAATTGATATAGAAACATTAACATATATATAAAGTTACATATTTTCATTAAAAAAGGTTGTAATATTACAATTTTCGTCCAAAAAAAAATCAAAGCAAGGAACGAAAATATCTAAGACCAGCTCCACACAAGCAGCTGAACAGAGGAAGAAGAAACCAGCCAACACACTGCGCCAACCCTCAAGCCCAGCAGGACAGCAGCAGCAGCCAAAAGCAGGCACATAGCACCAGGCAGAGAACAGCACAACAGCAGCCAGAGTAAACAGAGCCAGAAACAGCAGCAGCTGGCAAAGCAGAGAAGGAACCAGTAGCAGCAGTGCACAGACAGAACCAGCAACAGAAACCAGACAGCAGGTTGACCAGAAATCTAGCAAAAACAACATGAATTTGCAAAAAAGAAATTTCTATAATTTTAAAGGAAGGATACAGTCCACTTAGCAACCTGTTTCTCAAAAATGATGTCAGAAAATTTGTACAAGTACAAATCACATATGGCAGCAAAAATGGATTGCAGCAACCGTTAGCAGATGGGCCTAGTGATTCTTTGTCGGTATAAATTAATGAAGAAATGTAAAATTTTAACAGCTAAATCAATGTTAATACAATTAAGTCAAAAGCGAGTACACTTTTATTAGCCAGCCAGAGTATGACAATACCAAAAAAAGTGATCTAAAACAGGGACTGGCTTAGCATTAAGATTGTGGGCATGTCAGTTCTATCACCACCCTGTGTACATATACACGACCATTGACGATTGAAGATCACGATCTACCTTAAAGTGAGCATGGAAGAATCTCTTCACCTGCCAGACCAATGAAGCTTAAGTTCAGCTTCAGCACAGAATAAGTAACTAGTGCTAAGAATTAAAATATCTTGTTTATAGGCTAGTGCTAAACTGTCTTGTTAATTAAAATATCTTGTTTATAGGCTAGTGCTAAACTGTCTTGTTAATTAAAAATCCATAGGGAAAGAAGCCAACCAGAAAGGTAATACTCATATTATGACGTATCTGTACAAGTATGATGAAACATGCTAAGTGTAAGCACAGAAAAGCTCTATCATATAAAAATATGTTACTGTACAAAATTTCACCAAGCTTACTGTGATCTTAAGGAACCGAGAGACATGACTGCCCGGAATATGTTCTCTGACGTTCCATCCACAACACCAACAGCCATAATTGCAGGATGGTCATCCCATCGCTGAATAAAAATGATGAATCAGCTAAAAATTTCAGGTTAGAAAGGAGAAATTTGGAGTTTCAAAAGGCTACCCACCTTCCGTGAATATCCCTGTCTTTGGCTTCTTTAAATAGTCGTAATCCTGCGACAGGAAAGTTAATACAATTATTTTCCTTGTTTCCTATGTGTGTGTGTGTGTGTGTGTGTTTCAAACTTTATGGAAAATACCAAGTCTTACCATTCTGACATCCAAAAATTGTCCATGCAGAAGGTGCAACAACATCAGTAGTTATAAGATCCATTTGAGAAGATGAACCAGTAGGCCAATTTGTTGAACTGGAATGATGTATCCTCTTAGAACTATTTAATCTGTTTCACAAAAGGTTTTGCACTAACGTCAATTTTTTGGCTCATAAATTTTTAAAACACACAATCTCAGCTACAAGCGCTAAACTAAGGTAAGGGTCTTAGATTAGACTATAATTGCCCACCAAATATCAACTATCTAGTTACGTTACTCAAGTATCCTTATCAATGTGGAAATGTTCAATGTTCTGCATGGAGATTTGAGATGAAATGTAAAATCTAAGAAGTATAGCAAAACTATTCACTATAAGATAGCACCAGCTACTACAAATATCCTTTAACTCTTTTGGAAAATGTTTAAGGAAGGCTATCAATAGTATGAAACCAACTGCCAAACTGATATGATCAGAACAGCGTAGTATATACTTTAAGAAATTGATCAAGTAAACAAGACACATACTGGATGACAAGCAGGTTACCTGTAAGACTGCCATGTGTTCTTGGGACAACCCAAACCACTAATCTCATCAATGGGACACACCTACATAGAGGAAAGCCTGTTTACTTTTAAAGGGCCTCAAAATCTCAATTGATATAAGGGAAAAAAGACATTTAAAAAAAAAAAAACAAAACAACTTAGAGAAGAACAAATATAATAGAGCATTGGTAATTTAAAAGAACAAATATAATAGAGTATTAGTAAAAAAAAAAAAAAATTATTTGATTTCAATAAAAAATAATTGTAGTTCAGTAAAAATAAGGTAAAAAGAATATGTTCATAGTACAACAGAGGGAATTGTGATCATTAGAATGGCAAAAGATGAAAAGATGAAATTTTCTCTCTCAGAAATCTGATTATTGTTTTTAAATCAGTACACTTAGAGAAGAAACGCAGGGGTCTCTTACAACTAGTCACAAATTTGAGAGAACGGTCTAGATTATTACCTATATGTAGGAAAACAATAGCCATGCAATTACTTGTTTGATTTGTCTCAAATGAGTGCTTTAAGAATGTTAAAGTGGATAGACAAACATGCATAATTAAAACAACATAGAGAAAAAAACAAGAACATAGAGTAAAAACGCAAGGGGTATCATATTCCAAAAATCATTAAACCAAACATGAAACAATGCCTAGCACATTGTAGCCCCTTGTGAAATGGACATGATCTCAATTGCAACTTCTTTTTTACACCATTTTCATGATTTCATCCTCTTCCACTATTCTAGATAAGTTCAAAATGGAGTTGATTATGTAGCTTTTGTACACATATACAACAATTAGTTGCAATATGCCCAATCAGACATAGGATTTTTTTTTTCTTTAAAAAAATATATATATTTTCCTTTAACAAAAAGCTTTAGCTTGATTCTTCCCTTGTCATGAACAAGGCCTTATTATGTTCAACTTATTTTGACATATTCAAACAAAATTAGTACAGATGAGTTTCAATAATTCAAATGATTAAAACCATTACAAATACATAAGTTCAGAAAAAAAAATAAAAAAAAAAAACCGAATAGAATATAGCCTAAATTAAGTGGTCAATACAAGGTTACATTAATCACATTTGCAAATCGCAATGAATTCTATTACAACCTTCCTTGGACGTGATATATGCGTAGTAAAAGAACTATAACCCTATCTTTTCTTGAGGAAACAATAACCCAATCTTCTTACACTTTAGAGCATTAAATAATCTAAAATCCCATAACATTAACCAATGAAAGATTAGAACACTAAGCAAAACTAAATTAAGATTGCTAAGGGAAAAACAGAGAATCTAAAATTAGTCATGAACAATGGATTGAATTAGAATGGATGCTTCATCCCCTTCTGGAGCCGCAACATCTGCATAAACACAGGTACACAACCAATTCCCTTTGTTAGTCCACTCTTTCAACTTATTATGTGTCTTGGTTGCCATAATACAAGTGTACCAAAATAAATTTACCATTACGCATTTTATCTCTCCAACCTATGTGCCTTAATTAGACATATTAATGTACTCGTCATTACATTGGGGTATTCAAATGTACTTTACAAAATTTGACTCAATTATCGCTTGTTAAGACTTTCAAATTAAATTAGATTCCAAAGCTTTGCGGTTCAAATGTTACTAACACTAATTACTTGGAGGTGAGGTCTTTTTTACCTCCCCTATTGTGAGTACTTAGCTTGTAGAGGTTTGATTAGACTCCTTCGGTTTTCAAATGTTAGCTAAGGAACATTACTTGACTAATACAAAAATATTCATAAGCATCAAATTGGATTCTACTACCACTAATCTCTATTATAGGTAACTTAACTTATCCAAGTTGCAAAGACCGTTTAAATATATAAAATTTAATTAAGTAAATTCTACTCCAAAACACTCCTTTTTGAAACTTTCTAAACTTTTGTCTAAGATACCCTAATTTTAAAAACCATTTCCAAAACACTCCCTTTTTAAACTTTTGTCTATTTCATTCATGCCTTGCAAATATGGAGGAACTCAAAAGTAAAGCACTACATCATACGCATTAATCTAAAAAATAAGAGAGATAGCAAAATATACCTTGAACAAGATTAGAGATTAGGCTTCCACCATTACTATGAATATTGCCAACTTCACTCTCTTCATCAACCTTCTTAATCACCTCTTTCTCCTCATTTCTACCCTCCAATCTCTCTTCACCACCATCATTCTTCACATCTTCACTCTCATCCTCACTACTTTTACGAAACAGATTCGATATGAAATTATTAATCACACCACCACCTCCGCCTTCACCTCCGCCTTCTCCATCACCACCAGCTTCACTATCACCACGAACACGAGCATTTCCGTTCTCATGATGATCATTATTAACCTCAAAGGCATGATCTTCATTACCCTCAGTAGTAGGCCTAGGAGAAGTTAACTTAGACAAAAGATTATCTAATAACCCACCACCGCCACCGCCACCGCCGCCACCTTCGAGTTTCTGCCTCTTCTCCTTCTCTTGCTCGTCCTCGTGGTTAGGTCCTTCATCTCTACCTCTAACTTCAATCTTAGAAGGCCTAATGAAAGTCTCATTTTCTATAACAATATCTTCCATTTTTATTTCTTCTTCAACTTTTAACACAAAATCTTCCGTAAACCGCATGCTAATAACTCTTTCCTTTTTATACGTGAATAAAAAGTATGGGGCTTAAAAGATAAGTATGTGTCCCTCTAAATATTTAAAAGAAAAAGAATAATAAAGGACACGTGTATCGAAGAAATTGTCTGATTTAGCTCGTTGAACCAAGACTGACCATTTATAACATTGCACGTGGTGCCACTTACAGCTCCTGCTTCTATCCCATTTTCCCAAAATGGTCGGTTTATTTTCATATTTATTTCACTTTCCCGTTTTCAGAGAAATTAAACAATCAACCAGAAAAGCTGGGTAACTGTGTGAGAGAAGATAACCAAGATACCAAAATACGCGATTAAAAAAAAAAAAAAAAAAAAAAGTTCGGATAAAGATTAATAAAGAAAGGTTAACGCTTTTTAAATATGAACTTGTAAATACGTAATCGTCAAAGATTGAAAAATGTGGCAATGCCATTGTTGAATTTTTACTGTTTGTTCATCTTAAGAAAGAGTACTTGCATACATCCTTTTATTATGGAAAACAATGGAAAAAGTTGGAAAAAAATGAACATGGAATCATGTATTGGCCATTGAAGAAGATGTAAGTTGTGCTGCAAAGTGCAAACCCTGTCTAAATAATAGCAGAAACCGCGATAGACCAAATGATAAAATTAAATAGTAAAGTATGATATACAATGAGGAAAAGAGATGATTACAACACTACGTACAAAGGGATCTGATTAACGAACCCTTTCCTACGAAAAGAGACGACCATCCTCGGCAGCAGCTAAAGCAAGATCATTATCATCTTCAGCCAAATTCAAAATTAAGCAAGTATTGATTTGATTTGATCTGCAAAATAATACCAGAATAAGCATATGTTAATCACTCCTCAAAACCAAAAGGTTAAATCCAACGGACAGAAATATATAGGTCAAGAACTACAGGGTGGGAAGATACCTGTTAAGGGTTATTACGTTTATATCGCTCAATGTATGCTTCCGTCTCAGCTTCCTTCTCTGCTTTTCTCCTTTGCTTCCTGTTTTCTTCTCTTGCAGTAGCATCTTCCTCAACTTTCTTCATGACTTCTTCAAAACCAGGGATTGTACGATTTAGTTTTTTGTATACCTGGAAACTCAGGTCCTCGAACACCTTGAAAATCCGCTGCACATTCACAATATCGAAATTGAATTAAAGCTACAATAGATTGAACAGGAATAGCAGTCATAAAGAGGACACATTAGATAAAGTCGAAAAAAGGCAACATGAAAGCTGAGTTTAAAATTTAGGGTCAATACAGGGTAATTAAAATTGCATAGCACAGAAGTAGTGAAGCAGACTTCATAAATAACATTTTTCCTACCATATTTAGTTTGATTTAGGGTGGATTTCATAAGTGTAATTTAGAATTATCACTTATCTAGTTATCTTCAATAGATGGAAAATCTATTCCCCATATTACAACAGAAGTTGCATTTTCAGTTGTAAATTCCTCTCAAAATATTGCTCTCTTTATTAGGCCTGCATATGACAGCAAGACCAGCCTATCCCAATCAATGGAAATAAAAGCCCAACGAGACTGTGAGGACTACATGGGCTGGGGCAATGATTTTTTTGTCATCTTATCCTTCAGGCCAAAACAAAAACAAGAGAGATATGAACACCACAACGGCCAAGCCAATGGCTCCAGTGCTCCACAGCCGACTCTAGGTTGAACGATAAATGAGTACAAGTGAATTTAATCATAAGTCATCACCCTAATTTGGGAAGAGAAATTCTCATTGGTAACCATGTAAAATTGCAAATTCTCTTTGGTAGATTGAAAAAAAAAAACTTAATATCAATTGTTAACCCTCTATTTTTTTACTATTATCATTCATACCAGTGGTTAACATTCCTGAGGTTATTTCTTCTCTTATCTTATTCATATCCTTTCTCAGTTTCTCCTCTCCCCACCCACTACATTCAGGTCTGCAGTTGCTATCAATGTTCCACTAGCTGCTCATTTTTTTTTTTTTTTTTTTTTTTTTTGGCAGTAGTGAATGCTGAAACAAAGACTAGTCTCTTTTTCTAGCTTTTATAGCTAGACTAGATTACGAGCTCTAGTCACATGGACTCTAGGGACAACATCACAATTCACAACAGATATAGTCTAATTGTGAGATAGTAAAGGATATATCTCTTGCCAAGCCACACAGTTCTCTTGGTGCATGCAGTAAATTTTTTACCCCTTTCAAGACAACTAGCTGCTCATTGTTGTGTCATTGTTGAGGTTTGATATTAATGGAGGATAAATTGGGTTGATTAATGCATTTGGGAATTAATTGAAAGGAATGGAAGTTTAATGGAAGACAATAGCCATTAGAGGGACTAATAACCATGTAATTAGTATCATAGGGCATATATGTAATTGTACCAATAACCATGGTTAAAAAATTAGGTTAATTTGAAGCTTTAACCCTCATTAATGCTATAAATGATAGTAATCAAGAGCATAGGGTTACCACAGATATTAAGTTTTTTTCCGATTACAGAGTGCAATTTTACAGGGTTAAGCCGGTTAACAATGAAAATTTCCCTTTTGGGAAAGGAGATGACTTTTCTGAACCGCCTAAAAATAGTACTCCATATATGTAACTATAAAAAGTACTCATTTACAAACTTAATGGAAACTCCACTGTAGCTGCTGAACCAATATTTTAGGGATAAAGGCTCTAACATTGTTGTTGTATGCAAAACAAGTTTGAAATAGTTTGAACTACTGTATAACATGCTCAAGAAAAGAAAACATTGGACACAAAGGACATACCTTAACATCTCTGTTCCAACGCCTTATATATGGAGGACCAGTTGTGTAGGAGCCAAGAGGCTCACGATACCATTCTCTGCCATATGTAATTTGGTCCATGGCTTGTTCTACACTTATTACCTCCCAGGGCCTTAAACCAGGGATGGCTTTAGCCAATTGCAGCCTGCCTCACAAAAAAGATTTATATCACACAACCATCAACACAGCGAACTAAAAATCCAAATTACAAAGGTAAAGATTCAAAGGAAACTTCAATTTAAGAGCCAGGGAATCTGGTTAACGTAGGAAATAATCATCACCAAGATTATAAGTTGTCAACAGCGTAGTATAGCAGTAAGATTCCGCTTACAATCGAATACTAACTGAGAAATTAGTATCTAAATTTTGGTGCCTTGAATGTAAGGGAGTGTTCAGACAGCATTTTATCAATAAAAGTAAACTTGAAGATGTTTGTCTATAACAAATTAGGTAAGAAATAAGGAAATAAACACCTTAGATGTTTTGGTATGAATTTGTTTGGCATGTGATCAGCTTCCAGTATTGTTGTAAGCTCAGAACCACTAGCCCATAGAAAGAGAGCATGACTTGGAGTTCTTACTCCAGGCCAATAGCCATCATTAGCTTTAAGTACGGCTAAATCACGCTTCTTACTCTCCATAGCCTCCTCTTGCAGTTGCTTGTAGGTTTTCTTTTCAAACCCCTTTAATGGAACCCATGGAGACATTCCTTTCTGAAGCTTATGGAGAAATGCTGTAGCAGCTGCTCCAAACCTGACTGAATAATGCAAAATAAGACATAGATCATTAAGTGGATACAACTAGGAGCTCAAGAAGAAAAGCAGTACCACATATCAGACATCTTCTCTGTTGATGTTTCATACTGGAGAAACTCTTTTCATTTCTAATTTATATAATGTTGATGCTTAATACGAAGTATATCAGCAGTAGCGTAGCCAGTATATGTTCATGTCTGACTTTTGAGCCTGGAGGCCTTAATAAACTGCATCTTTTGAGCTGATGAGCTCTAATAAATAACTATGCACTTGGTGTCTCTATCTATATCCATTTCTCCTATCAGTAAACTTCTTTGTCCCTGGACATTTGAATTCATATAAACTCTCTAAAAGTTCTCTTTGCATCTATATTCTTGAATACTTTATACAGACCCTAAATTATAATTTCTAACCACCTTTACCTTTAAACTGCCAATAATATATCTGGGAAAACAATGATCTTAGGGTATAGAGTAGCTTGCCAAGAAATTATATCAAGAAAAGGGAATGGTAGAGATAATCAGTGGGTTATTTTGGCCATGACAAGAGATTAGAAGAAAAAAGTTCATGGTTACACTTCATTCTTTTTCCCTAGAGTGGCTCTACCAAGTTGGACCTATTCATTGAGGGAAAAAAAGCCAGCCTTTTAACCACAGTTCCAACTCAAGTCCTGGATCAGCCAGTTCCAGTTTAATGGGACTTGATCAGCCCATGGCCAGCCCTAGGCAACAGAATCACCACCATAGAAGCACTTTTTTGCATTTCTTCAACTGGAATTATAATTGCCTTGACGGAGCTAGGTAAACAGCCAATGTAGCTTGAGATGCCTATCTAGCAACTAATAGATTCATATCATCAATTAATGTGCTTTACAAGTGGAGATGAATGCTGCATAAAGATAAGGGAAACAAAATGTGGGAGAAAACTGCAAAGAAACATCAGAGATGGTGACTTGGTGAGGATAGAGAAAGAAGAGAAGTAAGGTTAAATTTATAACATCCTCATTGAATGCTAACCAAAATGATCTATCCCAATTCCCAATACATGCTGGAGCTTATAATATTTTTTTGTGAATTCAAGTATCAGATTCTGCGAATAAAAGATTATAAATGAGGATTGAGGAATACACAATCCTTTTCTATCAAATCCAAAAGTTTTTTAACACCAAATTTTCATAAACAACGAGAACATGTAATTGCAAAACATGGTACAAAGCAGCTATATGTACAGACAATCAAATCGAGCTGGAAAAAACAGCATCACCTATGATCTTATGCCTTGATTTTTGCTGCTTTACTGCTCTCATCTACACTTTATGAATGAGCCAGTTTCATATTTCGCCTCATATTAGATCATTATAGTGTCACTACAGGGCCAGGGGGGAAAGGGAGTTTGTGGAGAACATATTTAGTTAATAAGTTATTAATCTATAAGACATAAATACACTTCTCCTTCTTCATATTAACCAAAGTAAGATGGGGGAATGTCAAAGCAATGTCTCAGAAAGTCTCAGATCCAGGCAGAATTTATTTCTAAAATGAGCAGCCGTAGGGTATCAGCAATTAGAAGACATGTTTAGTTGTTTACAGCAGTACAGCCTATGGTGGCATCCATTGCAGTATGGAAAATCCTAGACTCAAGATGAAATGAGGAATAGCAGGCTCTATGTACTATAAGCGTCTATCAAAAATCAATTCTGGAATAAGCCTCCTAAGTTCAAGTCTCCCATCTCTAGTAATGATGTGAAGAAGACTAACATTATCCTTCAT